TCCAAAGCCTGCTGAGCATTATCGGGAAGGTCGAAGCTGAAAGGGTTCTGTTGAAAGCCTTTGTGCATTCTTGCTTTTGTGTGCAGCCCTGGCTTCAGGGTCGCATGACTCACGATGCTCGCATATGTAAGCATTGCATCGCAGAACGCTTGAAGCAGTCAGACATTACTTTGTGCGTGCAAAACAATTCGCTTGATGGCCTGTGCCCGATAAGCCCTTCCAGATCCTCAACCGATCATCAGGTTATGAGTGCCCAATCTCGCCAAGAAACAACAAGGCAAGCTGGAAGGCCCAGCATTCTGGAAGGCGAGGCCGCAGGACCAACGTATGGAGCCGCTGGAGATGGAGGAGAAGGTGGGAATCGTCAGTCTGCTATGCCGAATGGTGTCCCTTTGAGACTTCAGAATGCTGGGGTCAGATCTAGGGATTCTGGTGATACTGTTGAGCAAGCAGCTGCGACTCAAGTGGATGCTTCGCAAACCGGACCGGGCGCGACGACTACACGCGGTGCGGGTGAGGTTGGTTTAGATGGTAGACAACAGGACCTGCCACGAGCTTCACAGCAGCCCCAGCATCCACCGCAGCAGCAGCAAACTGAAGCAACAGCACATCAACCGCAGCTGATACCGAATGCCAGCGTTTCCCCTCCACAAGTGGTTTCCCAACCACAACAAGTGACGCAAGATCAATCGACGGCAACTTTGCCACCGCCTCCGGGGCTCTTTCATGAGGCAGTTCAACAGCGAGCTCATGAGTCAGTGGTGCGAAGGGAGCTCTTCCATGTGCAACATGCCGAGCCTGCCTATGACGAGGGTGGCTCTGAGGTGGACGTGGAGATGCGGGGAACTACCAGACCGGCATGGTTCACGAGAATGAGCGAGGTGATTCAACGTCGTGTCGTGGGCCCAGTTCTTGAGCAAGTGCAGACAGCTGGAAGATCACGGGGATTGCAGTCTCCAGAGTGCTCACCAAACACGGTGTGGCACTCCCAACCGTCGCAGCCAGGGACCCCGGTGCCACTGATGCGCCCTGAAGTGAGACAAGCTATGACCTCTTGGACGGCGAGGCCCTCTTTGTTGACAGCAGCTCCCAGGAGACCAGCGGAGGAATCGTCCAATGGTTCGATTTCGCAAGAAGTTGTCATGGAGGAGGTTAGGAAACAGGTCAAGGCGGCTTTGGACGAGCGAGAGTCAGAGATGAAGCGACTACATGAAGAAAACCAGGAGCTGCGACAAGTGGTGATGGCACTCACAGATAGGGAGTTCGGGAGTGGAAACGTTGGTCACCACAGCGGTGCTTTGGTGGATGGAAGCCCGGGACCTTGTGGCATGGAACCAGAAGGCAATCCCGGACTAGAACATCGAGGCTCTGTCGAGGCAAGTCGTTTTCCCCCTGGACTTTCTGCACAATCTTCAGTACCTGGTGGCAATCCTCGTGGTCAGGGGCCTAATGGAGCGCAGCCAGCAGCCGGAGTGGCCGGGGGAAGCAATCGCCGTGAAGGCCAACTTGTACTTCCCACTGGACTTTCGGCACAATCTTCAGTACCTGGTGGCAATCTTGTCGGATGTGAGGCAGGAAATGGCCATACGGGTTTCAGTGAACAAGGTCAAGCAGGCAGGGAGGGTATCAGCCGAACAAGCCAACCCTTGCTTCCCGCTGGACTTTCGGCACAATCTTCAGTACCTGGTGGCAATCCCCAAGGGACAGACAACAAGCGTGTTGGTCATGAATCCTGGACGGGACTACAAGGTGCGAGCGGTCATGGTGAAGGACTGTCGGCGCAAGGACACGATGAGACTGTCACAGGGACCGCGCTTGGAGAGGACAATGCCATGGTAGATCACTTGCACCTGCTGGTGCAGGGTATGAGGCAGTTGCAGCAGCTGCAGATGAACAAAAAGGACCATTCCGAGGCTGAGGCGGTAAAGGGCAGCGTGGAGTTGACAAAGATGCCTGAGCCTGGGGATGCAGCGGTGGAGTTTAATGACTGGATGTACGTCACGGAGCAGATGCTGGGAGCCTTAACGGACAATGCCAGTGCGTGGTTCGCTCAGTGTCTCAGGTGTGCACAAGAGGCCTACTCGGTACCAGAACGCCTCGGCTTTGGAGCGACTCAGCATTGCGCCGATTCTCACTGAGCCCCTCAAGGACCCCAAGTGGTTTCGTCTGGAGAGAAGTGTTCTTTCGCTGCTCTTGAGTGCGATGCCGAAGGCTGTGAAGGAGGACACTATCACCCATCGCATTGAGACAGTTGCGGGGGTTCTTTATCGACTTCACGTGATCTACCAGCCCGGAGGCACTTTGGAACGAACGGCCATCTTGAAGCACTTGGAAGGAGCAGTGGGATCAGAGGATCCTGGAGAAGCCGTGGCCCAGCTGCGGAGATGGCGTCGTCACTTAGTGAGGGCGGAGGAGATGTCCATAGCGTCGCCGGATGCCAGTTTGCAGTTGCGGGGGATAGAGATGATCACTTCCAAGGTCCTGGAGAAGCTCCCGGATGTAAAGTTTCGGTTGGCCCTTAAGAAGAATGAGCTGCGCCTTGCTTCGTCCCCTACAGCAGAAACAGTGTTGAAGTACTACCAGCACCTCCTGGCGGAGCTGCAGCAGGCAACACCTACCACCAGACCCGAACATGTCAGGCTAAAGGGAGCGACAGCCACCACTACCACAACCGGGCCTGGCACGGGAGGCTCTGGAACCCCCGGTGGATCGCCCAAGAGGGGAAAGAATCCATGCAAGTTCTTCCAGTCAGAAGGCGGTTGTAAGAGAGGCGTGAGTTGCACATATGCTCACGAGTTCGCCAACAAAGCAGATCGCAAGCAACGGTGTTGGTCCTGTGGAGCCACGGGGCACCGTCAGCAGGAGTGTCCGACCAATGGTGGCGGAGGCGGAAAGGGCAGTGGAAAGGCTGCTGGAGCGGGAACAACCTCATCTACGACCATGGCTTCCAATCCCACCGCGAGTGTGGCGCAAGTGCAACCAGTGCCAAGTGATGCGGCCAATTCCACGTCGCATTCTGAGGCGCTTCCATCTTCGGCTTCGGCTTCAGCTAGTGCGGAGGACGCAACAGCCCAACGGGAGGAGATGAAGAAGCTACTACGGGAGGCGAGCTCCATGCTGAGCAAGATTCAACTGATGACCTTGCGAATGGAGGACACCAACAAGGCCACGGAGGACTTGGAGCTTTTGCTAAGGTCAGCTGGAATGGATCAACATGGCTTGGCTCTCCTAGATTCGGGTGCCTCTCATCCCTTTCGCAGTCCTACGGATGACAAGGAGCTCGAGAAGGCGAACAATGTTGGCGTGGAGCTAGCAGATGGACAACTGGTGGAGCTAAAACAGACAAGCACTGGCACCTTGCTCAAGGCGGGCGGTGAAGGAGCTCGGGCACCTATCGTGCCCTTGGGGGCATTGGTGCAGCAGTTGGGTTGCTCCATAAACTGGTCGAAGCGCCAAGGCCTACGAGTGATTCATCCGGAACACGGAGACCTTAAGGTGAAGATGAAAGGAAGCTGTCCCTACATCTCCGAGCTCGAAGCGCTGAAGCTCATCGCTGAGATTGAGGATAAGAATTTGGAGCGATTGCAGCAGACCACAATGAGAAGCCTGTGGACTTCCTCTGCTTCGTCAGCCCAGCTCTCCTGGAGTGCCTATTTGGAGGCCTTTGCAGCCACGGGAACAAGAAGCAATGCCCTGGCAGCCATGATGAGCGCGGACTTCCCAATCAGTCTGGAAACGGTATCTGAGCGGTTCAACTTTGCGGGCTCTGAGGACATCGACCTGAGTGACAACGCAGGGTTTGGGTACCTGAAGTCGCTACCAGTAAACAGGAAGGCCAGGAGAAGACTGCAGGGATCCAGATGGATTGTTCACCTTTATGATGGAAAGAACGAGAATACCTCCCACGAGCTGAAGAAGTTTGAGACCGAAGACATTGTGGTTCTGGAGATTGACGTGCAACGGTCCAAGATGTACAACATGAAGGGCTGGAACAACGTGCTTCGGGCCCTCCTATGGGCAGGCTGTCGTGGGCAGATAGAGGGCATCCTTGGAGGACCTCCACGTAATGGTGGTGATGAGCTACGGCAGAAGCTGATGTATGCCTGGATGGTGGCTGAAAAGGGAGCAGAGGTCAACAGCCTCAAGAAGCCTTTCCTTTTCATGGAGTACCCGGGTGAGATGCCGTGGTGGAAGTCCAATGAGTGGAGGAACTTCCGGGATGAGTACCAGCTGTCACATGTGTGTTTGGGTGCCGGCCAGACTCAGGTGTTCCACGCCGCTACAAACATGAACTTTGTCAACCACATGAAAGAGCCGGGGGTTGAGAAAGGAGTGTCCACCACATGGACTACAGGTTTGCTACGGGCCGTGCGCGACGGTGTGATGGGGTGGAATAGGTGGCCTGATCAAGTACGGCAAGCTCAACTACTATGCAAAATGGAAGGTCGCCTAGAGGACATGTCCGAGAAAGAGCTCAAGCAGTGGGCGAAGCACGTCAGGGATGGCCACGTGCCATTCAACAAAAGGTGCAGGACCTGCGTCGTGAATGCTGGCTTGGGGCGACCCCATAGAAAGGTCCTGGTTCCTTCGGCTCATGTCTTGAGTGTTGACGTGGCGGGTCCGTTCAGGACCAGAGGAATCGATGCTGATGGCAAGTACCGCTACGCACTTGTGGGTTCATACTGCATGCCGAGGCTTGAAGGATACAAAGATGTGGACATCCCCCTAGAGTTGCCGAAGGCCGATGGGAAGAGTGATCCAGATCCACCACAACCGAAGGCCGATGGGAGGAGTGATCCAGATCTACCACAACGGAAGAGTGATCCAGATCCACCACAACCGAAGGCCGATGGGAGGAGTGATCCAGATCTACCACAACCGGACGCCGATGGGAGGAGTGACCCAGATCTACCACAACCGGACGCCGATGGGAAGAGTGATCCAGATCCACCACAACCGGACGCCGATGGGAGACGTGATCCAGACAGTTTGCGACCAGATGCAGATGATGGTGGTGGGGTGGGTCCGATGTTTGAGGAGGAGGACGAGTTTCTCCAGGAAGAGGAAGTTGAGGACCAGCCATTCTCTCCTGATGACCAAGTTGACCTGGAGCAGAAGAACGAGGACTATAAGAAGTTCTACAGCGAGGTTGTCAAGGAGGTTGGCGAGCCCTTGGAGTTTCAGACGTTGCTGTACGTGATACCCCTCAAGTCCAGACAGAAGGTCGATGTCAACGCGGCCATGAGGCGAATGTACTTGCAACTACGTCAAGAAGGACATCCAGTTACCCGAGTGCACTCGGATAGAGCGCGCGAACTCAAGTCGTCGACATTGAGACAATGGCTGTATGAGAAAGATATTTGGGTTACCGCTGGAGAATCCCAAACACCTCAACAAAATGGCCGTGCCGAAGCTGCGGTGAAGAACCTGAAGAAGTATGCCAAGGTTTTGCTTGCGAGTTCTTCACTCCCACGAGAATGTTGGCCCCTGGCTATGACGTACGCAGCTCAGAGACAGCGCCTACGAGCTTTGGCACAGCCTCTGGCCAAGGACCCAGGCTTTGGAGCAAGGGTTGCGGTGAAGTCAAAGGTCTTTGGCACCGGGGGCTCGTATGACCTAAACCCCCGTTGGCGCGAGGGTCAGTTTGTGGGCTACAGTAGTGACGTGAAGAATGGCCTGGTGGTGAGGTACAATGATGGAACCTTTGTCACTAGTTGCCATGTACGAGAAGGTTTGGTGGATGCGGAGGCCATCGCCGACGACGAGCCCGTGGAGGCTGACCTACCTGTTCCGACGAGAAGATTGAGAACGAAAGCCAGGTTGGCTCTACTCACTAGTGCGTACAACGAGATTGAGTCCTATGCGAGAGACTTGGATGTGGATGAGTGATGATGTACTACGCCTCTGGGAAAGGCTCAAGGAAATTCCAAGACCAAGGAGACGGGGCGCAAAGATGTCAACTGTGGATGAGAATTCCGAGTCCTTCTACACTGGCAGTTATGTTCATGGAGGAGTTTGCGGAATCACGAAATTGGCCCGGCAGCTTCCCAACACCACGGCCTATTTGGTGAAGGCTGCGAAGGAGATAACAGGACAAAGCCACTTTGGGTGTGTGGCTATTGTTGAGAATGTTGGCATGGGTCCGCATCGCGACAGTCACAACCAAAAGGGGACCGAGAATACAATCACGGCCTTGAATGACTTTGCCAATGGCGAGGTATGGGTTGAGAAGAAAGAAGGCGACTACAGCTACGATGATGAGTGGAGACAAGTCGCTGAGGGTCAATGGAAGCGTGGCAAACTTCATGAACTACAGCCTGGAAGGACAGTTGCCTTCTCACCGGGGCAATGGCATCAAACAGAGCCTTGGACTGGAACTCGCATTGCCCTACTCACCTACACGCCGAGGCTTACCAGCTTGAACGAAGAGACTGAAAGAGAACTTCGTGGTCTGGGTTTCAATCTACCAGAACAACGAGGTGGCCCTGACGAGCAGGATCAAGGTGAACGACAGGGTGGGGCGGTGGAGTCCCCATTTGAGCCTCCCAGCCAAGAGGAAACTTCAACCTGGAGCGAAGGTCTAGCTGTGTTGAACGAGGACCAGAAGGACCTTTTGGATGACATGCAGGAGCGCTCTCTTGCTCTACGGCGCCTACTTGAGGAGGAGGAAATACTGCTTGAGGAATACCGGAGAATGGGCAGGCAGGT